GATGGATGGATGGATGGATGGATGGATGGATGGATGGATGGATGGATGGATGTGCAGACATACAAGTAAGCAGAGAGATACTTGGTGCAACACTTCTCATCCCTGGGAGCTGAACTAGAATGACTTAAGTGCCAAATAAATAGAAGATGTATCCTGGTGGGGAAATCATAGGAACTATTTTTTTCATGAATGCAAAGACTCTGGATGTGCTTCCCCCAGGATGATGATTTGTTTTGCACACATTCCACCATTTGAGCTACAAAGTTTGATTAAATGTGGACCAAATATAACAATACCATTAATAGCAGGAGGAGGAGGAAGAGGCAGGGATGACAGTATCAGGCATCTGCCAAAGCCCACGTGCCAGCAGGGGGCTTACTGCCAACCCCCAAAGCCCCTGCATTGTTATTTCTCCACGTTTTGGATTGCCACTTTTTTGGAGTGAATGCCTAATGAACAACAGCAGCCAAGAGGAAGAGGAACAGCTATTTTTGCTTTGATTTCCCTCCCTGGGCAGGGGCACAACTGGGCCCAAAGATACAGGGTGAACTTCTGGAGGGTGCTTCCCCAGTGGTCATTTTGCCCCCAAAGCTGGAGTCTGGCACTGATAATAGGAATAGCTTAGGGAGGGAGGCAGTGTTCAAGCCATGTGCCTCAGTAGTATCACTTTTCTGAGATCTGGATAAATCAGCGTTCTGTTTTATATCACCCCTCCCTTTTGGCATTGTGCTTCTATGAATGAAGACTCTTCCCCACTGCTCACTGGGTAATGTGTCCCTTTTCCCTGAAAAACCCTGAATTATCCAGATTTCCAAAACAAAGAGGGTGTTATTTTGGCTCAAAGGGATAGATGGTTTGCGGGAGGGGGGGGAGAGTAATATGACAGTGTTCCTCTTAAGGATAAATTATCAATGGCTTAGGAGTGACGTTCCACTCCCTCTTCTCCTCCTCCCTTTGCAGATAGGGCAGTTGCAGTTACGTGCTTCAGAATGCCTTAAATCAGTGTTGTCCAAACTTGGCCACTTTAAGATGAGTGGACTTCAACTCCCAGAATTCCCTAGCCAGCATGGCTGGCTGGG